TACCCAGAGTCCTCTATAGAACTCCTGCTTAGCTATTGGCTGTTCAGCTTTTTATTAAGCCAATGACAGGGGCATATCTTTCCACAATGTACAAAAAGACTATTCTACAATAGATTGTGACATTTTTCCTACTAAATTGAGCTCAGTCCACGTAAGGACAAGTGTGAGGATTTGAGCCACACAAAATTATGCTCATGTTGTACATCTGCCTCCTAACCTTTGTAGTTATGAGTTGGCTGTTCAGTCATCCAAAATTGTGTTTTTCACACTTATAAAATGGGTAGAATTTACCATACTGGAACATCCGACAAGATAATGTGAGTAAGCATCATCCTTGGCCAATAACATGCTCAATAAATAGTTTAAGGTCACTAAAATCAAGCTCACTTTAGATTTAACGTACAACACTGAGCATTTATTTACTGCTGCGCCCTTCCACATCCTATTTATTTCTTTATATTCTTCTTTCTTACTTTCTCTGTTCTGATCATTGGTTAAATTTCTCTTCGTTTCTTAAAAATCCAAGACTTAGATAACTGAGCAACTATTCTCAAATAATCCCACTAATGGGTGATAAAGCCAGAACCTCAATTTTATTCTCATTGGTCAACTAAAAGAAGATGGCGACTCTGCTTACATGTAAGGGTTTCTCAACGGTCTAGATGGTAGTGGTGCTAGGTTTGAGCCTGTCTATCTTTGGTGACTGTAGCTATCTTCCCACATCTGCCTCCCAGGTGCAGGGATCATGGATATACTTTACCAAATCTCATTTCATCATGTTTTAATGTCAGCCATTAAAAAAGTCAGGTCTGGACACTCACGGATACATACATAAGGATGTCCAGCTGAGTAGACCATTCCTTGGAGAAGTAACCAATATTCTGCTTGGCAGGCAATGTGTTCACATTTATATATGGGTAGAATTTGTCAAACTGAAGTCGTCATTGAGATGATATGTATAAGCATTATATCTGTCTTGCCCACAGCCACAATATGGCATCATGCTATTTTTTCCAAAACACAAAAATGGCTCAATTCTCACACACACACAAAAAAAAGTACTACAAATCTTAAAGGACCCTGTGTGGCAATTATCATGTGACAACTATGACTTCTCCAGGAATTACAACTGCATAGTAGTGTGTCCAACTGTAAGTAGGAGCTGGACTCCCTGCAATACTGTGTTTTATTCTCCTATAAGTCAGGGTAAAGGGGTAATTATTTGTCCTTAAGCAAATTCATAATAATGGCCATAGAGCTGAATGCTATCCCTTCCTGTGTTTGAGGAACCTCACTATCACAACATTGAACAAAGGCCCATATGATAATATGACATCTTCCTTCACGTATTTTTGAGCCTGACTACATGAATTTACTGGCTGTTTCATGTCATGTACATTTTCCCATATATGGATGGAAAGGGTATTGATAAATAGAATGTAAATCCATTCAGTTATTCAGATTAGATATTTGTTTTTAGTTAAGTTACTTATATTTGTGGAAATTTATGTTTTTATACTTAGAACACTGAATAGGCTTCAATATTCTTTTTAATCACAAATTTACACTATGAATACATGTTGCCACAATTGTTAAACTATGATGGGGACAGTTATACAGGATTATAGTTTGGTAATTTAGTAATTACTAGAATTGCATAGTAATTGTGACAAAATGAAGACCAGGACAGAATGAATAAGATAATTCCTGCAATGGCCTTCTGACCACTGGAACTAGTTTAATTGAATGTCATTCTTCCCTTCCCTTTCATTCTCTTGTCCCTCTTTCTCCTCTCCTCTATCACTTTTTACTCTTTGACATGAAAGGTCTAGAAATTATATCATGGTGTTTTAAATATTCTATCAAAGTTTCCTAGACTAGTAAATGTTTTATTAAACAGGGATTCCTTTCAATACTGTAATACAGAAGCATTTTAAAATTCAGAATTGAAGTTAAACCATGTAGGAATTTATTGGCTGTAGTTTGCCAAAGAAAGTAAATGCCCATTATTTTTGTTTCATTATTGTTTGTTGCAAACATCAGTAAATAAAGGATTTCAGAAGAAATTTGTGCCAGTTTTAAGAGTAGATGGTTGTTTCTAAAAACTTTTAAGAACTAAAAATGATCCTTTCCCCTATTCCTGTAACTTATTTTAATAATGTGAAATTCACTATTGCAAAGTAAAAGCTATATCTGACTAATGTACACATGGATTCAATATTTTCATGTGTAGTGATGTGATAGATTTCTAGAATTCAAAAGTGCATTCAACATACTTGCAAACTTGCCTATAGTCTCATTAGTAGGGATTCCCTGCTTCAGGTGCACCTTTTGTTTCTGGAAAAGCATTGAAAGAATGTTAAAGGAACTTCAGGAGGCATTACCATCCCCAACTTCAAGCTCAGGACTATAGAAGACTATAGCCCTGAAGACAGCTTGGTATTGGCACAAAAATAGACAGGTAGACCAATAGAATAGAATTGAAAATCCTGATATTAACCCACACACCTATGAACACCTGGTTTTTGACAAAACAGCTAAAATTATACAATGAAAAGAGGAAAGGAATCATCAACAAATGGTGCTGGCACAACTGGATGATGTGTGTAGAAGACTGCAGATAGACCCACGTCTATCGCCATGCACAAAACCCAAGCCCAAATGGATCAAAGACCTCAACATAAATCCAGCCACACTGAATTGCTTAGAAGAGAAAGTGGGAGGTACCCTTGAACAAATTGTACAGGAGACTGCTTCTTGAACATAACTCCAGTAGACTGAGATCAACAATTAATAAATGGGACTTCCTAAAACTGAGAAGCTTCTGCAAGGCAAAAGATACAGTTGGCAAGAACAAACTGCAGCCCACAGACTGGGAAAATATCTTCACCAACCCCACATCTGACAGAGGGCTGATCTCCAAAATGTACAAAGAATTCAAGAAACTAGTCACCAAAACACCAAATAACCCTATAAAATGGGATTCATAACTGAATAAAGAATCCTCAATAGAGGAATCCAAAATGACTGAAAGATACTTAAGAAAGTGGTCAACATCCTTAACTATCATGGAAATGTAAATCAAAACAATTCTGAAATACCATCTTACTCTCATCAGAATGGCTAAAATCAAAAACACCAATGACAGCTTATGCTGGAGAGCATGTGGAGAAAGGGGAACACTCCTCCACTGCTGGTGGGAGTGCAAACTTATACAGCCATTTTGAAGATCAGTATGGTGGTTCCTCAGGAAAATGGGAATCAGTCTACCACAGGATCTGGCAATCCCCCTCTTAGGCATATACCCAAATGATCCACATCCATGCAACAAAGGCATCATCTGTTCAACTATGCTCATAGTTTATAATATAAAGTTTGTATATAGCAAGAAACTGGAAGCAATCTAGATGCCCCTCAGCTGAAGAATGGATAAAGAAGATGTGGCACATTTACACAATGGAATACTTCTCAGCAGAAAAAAAAAATGGAATCTTGAAAATGGCAGGCAAATGGATGGCACTTGAAGAAACCATCCTGAGTGAGGTAACCCAGTCACAAAAAGAGGAACATGGTATGTATTCACTCATATATGGAATTTAGACTTAGAGCCAAGGATCACCAGCCTATAATTCACACCACCAGAGAAACTAGGATACAAGGAGGAACCTAAGAGTTTCATACAAGGTCCCAAACAGAAGGGGAAAGGAACAAGATCTCCTGAGCTTATTGGGAGTAGGGGGGCAGTAAGTGGAGAGGGAGCTAGGAGAAAGAGGAGAGGAGGAGTGGAGAACATGTGGGACCAGGAAGATTGAGTTGGAGGATGAATAGACGAGAGCGAAAAAAGAGATACCATAATAGACTCTAGAGACATGTATAAAGACCTATAAGTGTGACCTCAACTAACAATCTGAGCAACACTGGAAAGGCTATCTTAAATGCCCTTCCCTGATAATGAGATTGATAACTAACTTATATGCCATCATAGACCCCCTCATCTAGTAGCTAATAGAAACAGAAGCAGACACCCACAGCTAAACACTGAGCCAAACTCCTGGAATCCAGTTGCAGAGAGGGAGGAGTGATAAGAAAAGGGGTCAAGACCAGGCTACAGAAACCCACAGAGACAGCTGACCTGAACAAAGGGGAGCTCATGGACCCCCAGGACTGATAGTTGGGAAACCAGCATTATACCAGCTCAGACTCCCTGAATGTGGGCCTCAGTTAGAAGACCTGAGCAGACTAAGGGACCTCTAACAGTAGAACCAGGATGTATCCCTGGTGCACAAAAGGACTTTGGGAGCACGTTCCCCATGGAGGCTACTCCCTTAACCTAGAGGCAAAGGGTAGTGCCTAGTTCCTACTCCAAATGACTTGACAGATTTTGATGATTCCTCCTGGAAGGCATCACCCTCCCTCTGCCGGGGGTGGTGTGATGGGAGGGGTACTCAGTGGGCATGGGAGGGAGGGAGTGAGAGGGAACTGGGAAAATAAGAAGAAAAAAGAATGTGATAGGAAAGGTCCATTGGCTATTTTAATCACCACTTAGGATAATAGTTATTGTTCAGAAACTGTTTGCTAGGTTCTAACAACTTCATTAGACACTCTACAAATGTGACCTATAGCCTCCACGATGGCTCTGCTTAGGAGATGCCAATTTTCCCATTGTTCAGTTACAAAAATTTAGACAAATAGGAAGTAAATTCTTCTTAAGTTACAGGAAAGAGAATCCAGAATCACGTAGAAATGCTCTTTTCAATGTTTTACTAATTCCTGTGTAGACTGTTCTCTAAGGGAACATTCCCAAAATGTGCCAGTGAAAGGTTCTCATGAAAAACATTGGTGGAGTTAGGAGCAGTACAGAGATAAAATTTCACCAGCCTCATGGTTTCACTGGGATCAGTACTGTCAACTTCCCTGTCCTTGTCCGGATGAACAAGCTTTCTTCACTGTTGACATCCATGTATATGACATTTAATAATGCTTAACCGCCCATCTTGCAGGTATTGTTTGGTGACAAAATGTTCTCTTCTCACACATTGCTTGAACACTTCATTGCCACCAAAATGTGCAGCCGGAAGGTATTTCATCCTATATGCAGCAACTTCATGTTTTCTCTAAGTGGATTTGACCGCCCAAACTTAAACATGGTAGGTATAAGTAATCACTTTCTGGAAAACAATGATTTTGTTACATAAGGAGTGAGAGATGACTTTGGATTTTATGGAAAACACAGTAGATGGTCTCCTTTTTTTCCTTTGGGGGTGTAATAAATACCTTTCTGGCTCCAAAAAGGGTTGAAAGCTGACCCTCCTTTATAAAAATTAAGAAACAAAAGCTTTTTAAAAATTAGTTTTGCTGACAGGGCTTCTAGTTCTTTCTTTGGCTAAAATTCTACAATTTAAAAAATTTCTTTATTTCCATTAGAATTATGGCTATTACAGACCCACTGAAGTAAAATCTCAGAGAGTAGTTCTAGAATCTGCATTTTGTGTTTGTTTTTAAGTTTCCATACCTGTGGGCCATCTGAAAATCCTTACCTTGTGAGTCACCCTTATTTGAAAGGGGGGATTTGGCTTTTCAGTAAGAGCTACAAACTCAGATTTCAAGGGTGTGGAGAGGGTGGTTACTGGGTTTCTTTTCCTCAGTTCTAGAATAACTGGGCTCCTTTTCTTTCAAATTACAACTCGCTAACTTGAGGGACAAAGAGGGGAATGAAAGATTGGAAGTTACTCTTCGCTTCCTAGCTTGACATGGACAGTGTTTGAAACAGAGGTGGCACACAACTGAATATCACTCCATCGGTCTCACAGACTTTCTGCCGAGAGCCTTGTCTCCCTGTGTTTTTTAAATAGCATGTTCTCACTAAGTCACCCAGGCTGGGCTTGAACTCACTATGTAGCCCAGATGAGCCTTGAATTCATGTCACTTCTGCCTCCGTCTCCTGGGTTTTGGGGATTACAGGCGTGATGGGCAGGCTCAAGGCTTGCATAAGAGGCTTGTTTTATGCAAAGCATGCCTGAACCACACTGTTAGTCCACATTCTCAACTTAGTTCTCCAAGGAAACTGGACTGGTTCATCATGGAGATGCAAGAATTTCATGCAGATGAAAATACAACACATAAGCAGAGCTAAGCAAATTGGCTCAAATGTTTGAGAGATCATAAAGCAATACCCTTGACAGTAGAGGCTCTCTTTGGAGAAATCCATATTACACTGACAGCTAATGACTGGGTTATGGGATATTATAACATCCAGAAGAACAGATCCTTTAGTGAAGCACATCCAGAGGACCACTGTCCTTCTGTGGAAACATGTAGATCTATTCCCAATGTGTTTTGAGCTAAGCTTTTTCTGAAATTTATTTTTTCAGATGTATTTGTTTTCATTTTATGTGGATGTTTGTATACCGTGTGCATGTTCTGCTTGCAGAAGCAAAAAAAGGGCCTCAGATCCCCTGGAACTGGCATTATAAACAGTTGCGAGCTGCTGTGTGGGTGCTGAGAATTGAATTCAGGTCCTTTTCAAAACCAGTCATTGCTCTTAACCATTGAGCTATCTCTCCTGCACCTCAAAGTTTTACCTTAATGTCATATTTATACACAAAGCAGAGGAGAGAGTCATTAAAGTATTTAACCTCTTGAATGTATGAGGTGAGCTCTGAAAGAAAGGCTACATAGCCTTCTGTATTCAACGAGTCAGGTGTCCTCAGTGGGCTGGCTCTTAAAAGATGGGCTTCTTTGGTTGATATGTTCATAAAGATATAATTTCCCTAAATATAATAGTTATTTTCATGCATAGAGAGTTGAAGTGTTTCTCAAATGTCTGCATGTGTGTTATGAGTAGCCTCCAGATGAGAAATGATCTCTTTACAGAGTCGCTTGGATGTTTATATGGCACACAGTCAAGCAGGAACATCTGTTCAGAACATGCTGCACTGGGCCCAGGTACAAATTCTCTCTCCCTGACTGACATACCCAAATGTCTGCAAAATCCTTGAGGGGCACGCCCAAAATGCTCCGTGCAGGGCCCGAAGGTACCTGCCTGTCATGGTGATGCTTCTAGGATCAGCACCAATTCCTCTCTGTGATTACCTTCGCTCCCATCTATCTATTCTCCATGTCTTCAGTGCCTAGGTTGGGAGCCTGCTTTGCACATACTCTGAATGAGTTCTCATCCTTTGATTCCTCCCTCGATTGTTTGGGGAAGGCCTGTATTTCCTCTTCTGGGAAATCATTATCTTTGGTACAACTTCATGTAAAATGATACAACCTATTCCAGAAAGACCTGTTCATCTTCCAGTTAGCCCATGGGGCATTTCAGGGTGCAGAAAGAACGCTTTATTCTGAACAAAGGGAATGTTAGGGAGGGATTGAAATAGACAAACAGTCTGTGGGTTTGCCCACAGTTACAATTTTGTTTAATGAGATTACTCAATATCCATCCAGTAAGTTCAGAGATAAATCAAGTTCGATTAAGTTGTACAACTTTCTGAGCAAAGATGTGCATGTATGTTCAATTAGTACTTTGTATAATTTTGTCTGTATTACTGATGAGTCACTTCAGTCCCATCCTTTTACAAAAAAAATTGAACACATACCCAATGAAATAAAAATGTTTATAATAAAAGTTGGGGGCTAGAAAGAAGGTCCAGCAGTAAAGAACATTGATCTCACAGGGGGCCCTGATCTAATTCCTAATATACAAAATGGTGGTTCTCAGCTGTCAGTAGCTTCAGACCCAGCCCTCTTCTGGCCTATGATGATGCTATATGTACATGGTACTATGGTTATAGTTTTCCTTAGTTAAGATTAAAGATAAGATACATATAAGACTTTAGACTCACAAAGTTAGGATAGTTGATGGGAACATATTTTCTTTAAATCTTGCTAAATGTTAATGGACTAAATATTGTTAACTATGGTTCTTATTTGATAATTGCTTTGTTATATATTTTACTATTTTATAGCTAAAACCCTTCTTTTATTTTAGACAGAAAAGAGGAGATTATAAGAGATGTCATTCTGTAAATGTTTCTCTTATTGGTTTATGAATAAGGCACTGGTGGCCAATAGGAAAGCAAGATAGAAGGGACTAGGAGACAAGGAAGATTCAGGGAGAGGTAGGAGAAAATTCAACATGTAGGACCAAGAGAACAGAGGTCCCGACACTCTCTCTGGTAAGATAAGACCACATGGAAATACTTAGATTAATATATTAATAGAAATGGGTTAACATTTAAGTCAGAGCTAGCCAATAAGAAATGCTAGTAACAGGCCAACAGCTATATATATATATATATATATATATATATATATATATATATATATATATATATATATTGAACAAAAGAAGCATAATCCCATCTACCTGTGTATGAGAGAAAATGAGTTAATGGGAGAAAGTAATTAACATTTAATAATAATTTGCATTAACTATTATCTTGTAGCCTGCTTTAAAGCTGAAAATAAGAATTTGTTACAGATAGTAAGAAAAACACTGAAGTTTCTGGAAAGGTTGGTAGTTTTACTGCTGGGTAGATAGACTTTGTGTTTCTATGAATAAAGGCTGTTTGAGCATGGAACCCACTACTGATGAAGACAAGGGTAGAACCTATAATTGTCCTGGTCTACCAGAAAACGTAAATTCACTTTTATAGTTCTTGAACACTTACTGCATGTTCTTCTTGCTCTTCGTATATTATTTCTTTCATCTCACTGATTCACATAAATGAATGACACTTACATCCCTATTCTACAAATGCTACAGACATCTACATTTAAACTCGTATGCATCTACAGTTAAACTCTTTCCTTTGGCAGAAATGAGAGAACAATGGGGGTGCAAATGTTTGTTCATAATGTATACAGACAGTTAAGTTAAGGATGCTGCTGCTTATCTAACTATAGTACTATGTGGATTTCTCTAATCCAGCACTCATGCTCAAAAAGCTTTACAATCTGGAGCAGGGTAGATTGGGGATTTTCAGATTAGGCACGCTCAATTTATAAAATCCATGCAAATATTCCAAAATAAAAAAAAATAATTTTTAAAACTCTGAAATCAAGAGCATAGCTGGTTTCAAGGGTTTCAAACAAAACACACTTGACTTGTAGTGATGCTGGTGAAAGACACTCTGTTGCACATTACCAGGGACTGGAGGCTATATGTACATCTTCCTACTTAATCTTGCAGTCCAGTTGGAAGAATACTGTCATTACTCATAACTCACAAATATCTTTCCCTGCTTAGCAGATTGAGTCATCACTCAAGTCTGGATATAAAACAATCTTATTAGGCACTAGAATCCAGATTCTAAATAATATTCTCTGTTGCCTCTCACTGCTTAAACTGTGTGGGATTTTAATGTATCACACACACATATTTTTAGTTCCATAACATTTTATATATTCTATAACTTTATGTATAATAGATAGTTACATATCTAAATACAAAGTCATAAATATAATGTGTATATATGATTATATATATATATATATATATATATATGTATAAAATGTTATGGAAGTAAATATTCTAACAGAAAGGATTAAAACTATGAGTGGATAAAATTGTAAGTTATAAGCTAAGGGAAGAGAAGTTCTCACTTTATTCTGAGGATAATTTAATCCTTGATACAAATGTAGAGTATCTGCCTCTTTAATTCAGCAAGGGTGACAAGTGGCAAATAACAGAATCAAGGAAACTGCAAATGTCTGAATACTTCTGCTCATATATTTGACGCCCAAATACCAATGTGTAAAGTTAGTCATTGCCACTGTTTCCAACACTCAGCTCATAGCTCTTACAGCATGGCATGACACATGGCTTGGTCCTGCACAGAAACAAGGAGCAGCCTACATTTGCTGATTTTTTTCCCTAAAGATGACAAAAAATGTTTAGTAATAGGGAATGAATTCATAATAGCATAAGAGCACTTGTTGGGGGATAGTAAAGTGTTGTTTATTAACAGCCATAGTCATTTTTAGTGTTGGAAATGTGTGGCCAAAACTTCTGTAAACATATAGAAGTTTATAAACATAAATTCCTGAAATTCATTGCATAATCTAACATTTGAAAGCTTTGTTATATGAAGATTTTCATTCAAAAGATGTGGGAGGTAGTTATAAAGGATACATTAGTTCTATGAAACATTATCTATTTTCATTATTGATCAGTTCTAATGAGTGGGTATATTACCAACCTTCTTTGTGTATTTCTTGCTCATTGATTTTAAATGTACATTGTCTACTTATGTCATTTTAATGTGTTTTTTTTTTCTTTTTTAAATTGTAGGCTGTCAATTCTGGTCAATTCCAAGCTTTTGACTGGGGCAATCCTGACCAGAACATGATGCATTTCAATCAGGTAGGTAACACTGATGATAATAATAACCAGTGGTGTGCTGCAATGAACCAGTGAGAACAGCTTCCACTCAAGTATTTAAGTGCTTACTACTCTGTATTTGCTATGATAGACATTGCATATTACTGTTAGCACATAATGCTTCCTGGGCTTTACTATGTGCTTAGTTGTTTCTGATCCTCACAATGGTCACTGGAGCAAAAAAAAAAAATTGTCCTACAGGCTCAAGGAAGTAAATGGCCAAATAACTAGAATATGACTCAAAGATTCAAAGATTTCTGGATCTAAATTTATTTCTCTATTTTTCTTTCTCTGTTGTTTCACTGGAAAAAAAAACAAGAGCTCTCAATATTTCATTAACACTGTTTGAAAGATAGAATTAGAAAACATGACCCCATTTCTAAAGCAGATCTTCACCCAATTTGACTAGCATTGCTTTAATAGTTCCTCAGGGTGTCCTTCATTACTGGAAAAAAAAAACTAATATATGGATCATTTAAGACACATCAATCAGAAATTGCCACCTTTAGAGAGAACTGATACTATCTAATGGATAATACAATGTTAAGATATCTCTTTACATCATCTATGAAAATGACTATCCCACACTAAAAACAACATATGCTGTTGTTTACTGGGACTTTTTTCAACTATGTTGAGAGACTCAATAATTGTTTGACTTCCTGATGGCAGACTGAGATAAAACATAAAAACATAAAACATTGTCATCAGCCTTTTAAAACTGCAAAGAATAAATAGTATAGAGAACATTTATATTTTCAATGTTTTCAAAAATGTGGTTGTCTTCCCAAACTTCTATACTTGAATGAACATGGGCTTGGATGCAGGGACAGGTACCAAACACATCCTGTCAAGCTGCCGTTTTCTCTTTTGATGACCACTTTTCTTCTTCCACCAAGAGTTTGTGGTTCTTTCAGAAGAGCATTTTAGATGCTGATCACACATTATGAGCTAGGAGACTTGGATGAAAGTGGTGTCAGAGCTATCACCTTCATCTTTGTATTTACAAATAGAATAAAAATCATTATGTATATGGTGACAGAGGTTCAGATATGGATAATGTGCTTAAAACATTTGGTGGAAACTCCAACAGAAGACGAACTATGTTTGAGGCCAGCCTAGTCTTCAGAATGACTTCCAGGATATCAGGATATCCTGGACTGTTTCACAGAGAAGCCCTGTCTCAAGAGAAGAAGGAGGAAGGGGAGAGGATGTGGGGGAGGATGAGGAGGAAGGGAAAAAGAAGGAAGAAGAAAAAGAAGAAGGAGAAGGAGGAGAACTATGCATATTTAAAAGGCAGTAACATTTGTCACAACTAGGCTCAATGACACCATAAATCATATGGGTGTAATTACTGACATAAATCACTAGTGATCCTTCATTGCTAAGGAAGCACAATTTCTAAATTAATACACATAAATCTCACTGTCAGGTTAAAAATAAACTAAAAAGACTTGGCAAAAGTTATCAGATACCATTTAAAGCTGAAACCTAATATTCATATTTGATTTGCTGTTTCCTCAATGCCTGCCTTCATAGCAGAGTAATCATTTCCCTGAAGTAAAGGAATTCTAGCTGAAGAGACTATGGGTCACACTTTGTTTCTAATAGCTTGCCTGTGTCTGTTGATACCTTCACATTTTCTTGTTTTTTGTTTTTGTTTTCCCAATCTTCATTGTGCTCTATCTTTGCAACTAACTGTGCCTTGTACCCTGATCCTAAGAAAATAACAGTCAGGAAAAACCAGCTCCCACCCTCCCTAGTTTGACTGTTCATTTGGGATATTGTGCCAGGCTTTGGAACCCCCTTCCCCTTGCACACTAGAAAATGACAACCTACACTCACTCCCTTCTCTACCTGCTATGGTGCTTTCTCAGAACTACCAATTTTCCTTTATCACATTCTAAGACACCCCCCACTAATAGGTGAGAGGGATGATAAACTTTTAACATTTATGCGTTCAGACTCTCAGGCACCAGATCATCAACTCAAAGTAACCCTCAAGCTTCCTCTACCAGTGAGCTTTGCCTGAGTATCAGTTTTTGAAGAGAACTTGAGATGCTCAGCATCTTATCATGATCTTCCCCAAGCAGAATTCTATTAAGCTAATAATAAAAAAAAACTTTCATGGGTCCTTGAGGTCTTCACCTTTGTTCCTTATGGTACTGAGTCACCGTGGTTGGTCTTCTGGCCACAGAAGGACAAACTGAAGTTACGTGGTCATTTAAACCAGTGTGTGAATTAGATCATTAAAAAGAGTAATGTATAAGAAAAGTTTGCTGGGTTTTAGCTCTATGCCACACTATTTCTGTGTAAAGATAAATCCCTTTAAACATATTTCAAGTGTTTGTTTGCATATATTGGTATAAATGTTCTCTGAAAAACTTGCTGATGCCCAAGTGTCAAAACAGCCACTGAGCCCAGATTTCTATATATGAGACAGATGTTTATTCTACCCAGTAATAATTGAAAAGGACACACTCTCAGGTCAAGCTCTATGAGAAAGAGAAATCCTTTCTATTTAGAGAAACACTCTTCCTCAAGTACCCTTTGGTATCTGCCCCATAATACAAGTCAGGAGTGTGATGGCTCTTCTTTGTTTTCCTAACGCACTATTGCATAAACATGCTTTCTTTGATTCTTGTCATGATGAACTGTAGTCATAACAGGCCTAAAAGTAAACAAGACACACAACCAGGTACTATAATCTCTGAAATTCCAAGAGCATGCCTTTCTTATTTTGTGGTTATTCTAAGACATTTTTTTTTCACAGCAGTGGAGAACTGACTAACAGATTATTTCCATGTTTATATATCATTAAGTTCAACAGACTAGGATTGAAAAGTAGGCTCAATATCAAATGGTTTTATTTATTTCCATAATATAGTTCTCTCTCTTCCTCACTTCATTTAGCTTACGCCGCCTGTGTACAACATCACTAAGATGCAGGTCCCAACAGCAATGTGGAGTGGAGGACAGGATTTTGTGGCAGATGCCAAGGACACTGAAAATCTGCTCCCTAAGGTCACCAATCTTATCTACTACAAGAAGATCCCACACTACAATCACTTGGATTTTTACCTTGGACAGGATGCTCCCTTGGAAGTCTACCAAGACCTCATTAGAATGATGGAAGAATATTTGCAAAATTAAAGGCACTCTCTTTCTACAAGCAGGTGAATATCTTTCAGTAATAATGAGACAGACTGACCGTATGGTGACACCTCAATAGTTACCAACTTGTATTCTCCCCTCCTATTTGTGAGGGAAGAACTGCATGTTCTTAGAGAGACCCATGCTTGGAAGATCATTTAATCTTAATTATGCTCACAATGGAGGTTACTGATTCAACTTTTTGAATTGAAGGAGAGCAAAAAGTAATTCTACAACACGGATAATCAGAAACTATTCACGGTAGTCATTTATTCATTGCAAATAGCATCAACAGCATTTGCAAAGTTGATAGAGGCCATAACCCCTGACTATGTTATTCTATTTGGGAAAGGTGATGGAATGCCATTACCTCATCACATTATAAGACATGCTAAAGCAAGAACTATTTTGGTTGGCTTGAGACAAACAGAAGTAACAAGGAAGCCCACAATACAAGAAATAGTGAATGACTTCTCAGATCTGAGATTGGTCTTCAACCAATGACCAGCAAAAACCAGGACTTTCAACCAATCTCCTGCCACAAGAAAATAAATTCTGCCTCAACTCTGCTTGAATGTGGAAGCCCATTGTTTTGTACTGAAGTTTCCCACTGTGAAAACAACCTTGATTATAGCCTGCAAAACCCCAGGATTGGGGCCTCCAGCAATAAGAAGCCTTATATTCCTGAACTCCAAAAGAGTGGCAAAATAAATGTGTATGGATATAAGTTATTAATTTTGTTTTGTTTTGTTGGCAGTAATAATAAGCTCCCAATTATTAAGATATATGAATTACATAATAAATGTAATATTTGATTATGTTAATTGTAGAGTTAATATTAAGTGTATACCATAAGTTAAAGTATTACAATCTTATAATTATGTAATACTATATTACATGTACCAAAACATTTATTACAGTATATTACATGCTGATAAGTAATTGCTTGAAGACTTGGCATACTCCCATCTTATTTTTACCTGGTACTCTTTGATCTAGTAAGATTCCTTGAGCATTTGGTTGTAGATTATTAATTACTGGTTCACTCCGGGTGTATTTATCTTAAAGTCCTTTTTCTGTTTTCTAGGCTTTTATTTTCTGAGAATTGGGATTTGCATCCCCATGTTTAAATTTTGTTATTAATTTTCAGTCTTTGGAAACTGTTGGTCTTCTGGACTAAGGGCTAGCAGTCTGCAGCCTCTCTTTTTGCTTCACCCTCCCTGAGGAGCAGAAAGAAGATGGGATGGGGAGTTAGTAAGGGGGGGGGAAGGGGATTGATATGTAAAAAAGATTGTTTCTAATTTAAATTTAAAAAGAAACAAGAAAGTAACTCCACCAACACAAGTGAGCAATGTCTCTCTCTCTTAAGGAGTGTCTCACTGAAGCAGGGTGGTGAAAACAGTGAAGGTTTCCAAAAGATGGAATTTAATCTTCACAGTGGGTCCCTTTACAAGTTAGCCCTCAGCTACTGCATCTGGGGAATGAGCTGGGAGATGCAATTAATTTCTCCTCTAAGCCAGACCCCAGGCTTCTTACCCATTTAAAATAAAACCCTGAACTTTGCCAGAATCCATTCCAACAGCATTTGTTAGGACTCTCAGCTTTATTCCTACATAGGAGAAGCTCTGCCTCCAGCAATGGGGATGGATGGCCTGTTATTGCTAAGATATTTTGTTGCCCTGACTCTCTTGTCTATGGATTTTATCAGGTTTACACATTTCTGCTTTTGTTTTATTTGAAATGAGATTCTTTTATCACCATGTGTTCATTGCCCTAACTCAGGGGCTTCAAAAAGAAAGTTGCAAGTATATAATGCACTTTTAAAGTACTCACCCCCATAAAGTCCTTTTTATTCCTCTTCCCCCACTGCTAGTATCCATCGTTCTTCCAGACAATTTTGTTTCTACTTTAATAAAAACTATTTTTTAAGAAGAGAAAAATATACATAAGTTAGGTACCTATATAAAATCTAGGATCCACAAGTGAGGGAAATTTTGTAATATTTGCCTTTCTGGTTCTGTCTTATTTTACCTAATATGAACTCTGCATCCAGTTTCCTTCAACAACATAATTTCATTATTCTTTATGGCCGAAAAATACTCCATGTGTACATAATCCATTGTCCATTTTTAGCCCAGGCTGACTCTATAATCTGGCTACTATGAATATTGCTATAATCAATGTTGATATATAAGTATCTATATGGATATAAGTATCTAAAGTCGTGTGTGTGTGTGTGTGTGTGTGTGTGTGTGTGTGTGTGTGTGCGCATTCAGGAGTGGTATATTATATCAGATCATATGGTACTTTTTATTTTACTGAGTAGCCTCCATACTTATTTCCATGCTACCTATATGATTTTTGCATTGGTACCAGCAATGTATAAAAAAAAAAAAAAAAAAAAAACTTTTCCCCACATTCTACAGAATTTGCGGTTACTTATTTTTTGTTTTATTTTGTTTTAATGATAGCCATTGTGACTCATGATACACAGAATCTCAATTTAGTTTTAATATGTGTTTTTGCTGTACTGAGCCCAACTCCTGGAATCCTGTTGCAGAGAGGGAGGAGTGATGAGCAAAGGGGCCAAGACCATGCTGGAGAAAGCCACAGAAACATCTGACCTGAACAAGGGGGAGCTCATGGACTCAAGACTGATAGCTGAGAAATCAGAGTAGGACTGACCCAGACTCCTTGAACGTGGGTGTTAGTTAGGAGGATTGGGCAGCCTATGGGGCCTCTGGTAATGGATCAGAATTTAGTTGTAGTATATGAATGGACTTTGGGAGCCCATTCCACATAGAGGGATACTCCTTCAGCCTAGACACATGGGGGAGGGCGTAGGCCCTGCTCTAAATGATATGACAGACTTTGAGGACTCCCTATGGAAGTCTTTTCCCTGGGGAGCGAAAAGGGGATAGGATAGGAATTGGTGGAAGGAACAGGGGAGAGCTGCAAGGTGCAGGAACGGGGATTAACATGTAAAACAAGCTTGTTTCAAATTTAAATTTTTAAAAAAAAAATATGTTTCACTGATTGCATTTCTCTAGTGAAGATTTATTTTAAATGGTTTTGAGTCATTTGACTTGTCTTTTGAGAATTATCTGTTCATTTCATTAGTGCCTTTATTGGTTGGATTGTTTGGTTGCTTAGAGTTTAGTATTTTGAGTTTGCCACATATCTAGAAATTAATCATTTATACACAGTTAATCTATCAAAGCTCTTTCTTCCATTCTGTAGGTTGCTTCTTAACTTCATCAGTGGCCTCTTCTGCTGTGCACAAGCTTTTTAAATTCCATTCAATCCAATTGTCAATTCTTGGAATTCTTTTCAAAGAGTACTTGTACATACTTGTATCATAAAGCCTTGTCCATGCTTTTTTGTCTGCAAGTCTAAGTTTCATATTTTATATGAAGGTCTTCCATCCATTTTGAATTGATGTTTGCACAGGGTAGAGGATGGGTATCGAACTTTATTCTTCTACATGTGTATACCCAGTTTTCTCAACAACATTCATTGAAGAGAAATATTTCTCCAGGTTTTATTTTTGTCATCTTTGTCAAAATCAACTGCCTGCAATGGGATCCCATGCTCCATTTAATTATATGGCTATTCTGGTGCCAATGTTGTGGTACTTTCATTAGTATGATTCTGTAGAATTACTTGAAATTTGGTGTTGTGATAAGTCCAACATTGCTATTTTTCCCCTCAGAATTGCGTAATTCTAATTATTTTGTATTTCCATATAAATTTTAGAAGTTTTTATAAATAATGCCATTGGAATTTTGATGAAAGTTGCATTGAATCTCTAAATCACTTTGGATAACAGAGATACTTTTAGAATGTTACTTTGTTTAGTCATGAGTACGGGAAGTCATTCCATATTTCAGTGTCTTCTTCAGTTTCTTCCTTCAATGTAAAATCTTCATTGTAGAAGTCTTTCACTTTTTTGGTTGGGCTTTGTTTTGTTTTTGAGGCTATTGGGGGGGGGTTATTTTCCTGATGTCTTTCTCATAATGTTCACTACTGCTATTTTGTAAAAGTACTGATTATTTTACAGTGTATTGTATATATTGAATTGTATGGTGGTACTATCACATGGTTACTTTGTATTCTCCTCATTGATAAATATGTTCATTACTCCTAAGTTTTCTACTACCATCTTTAGGATTTTTTTATGAATATGATTATTTTGTTTGAATGTAAGGATATTTTTGTTCTTGGCCTTTAATGGTGCCTGGTATGGGTTTCATCTTTTAAAGCAGGACACTTAAATCCAATCAGAAAATAGTTGGTTACTCCTGTCATGTCTGTGCCACTATTGCACTAAGTGGCTTATTCTGATAGTTTAGTTTTTATTGTAGCTCACAGGGTTTATATCTGAATAAGACTGATGATTATTTTTCTTCACTATTACTGTAAGTATCATCTTCTGGCACCATGAAAGCTTCACAAAGCTTCTAGGTTAATACCAACTTGATTTCTACATGTTCCATGACTCAAGTATGTTCTGTCTTCAGCAGGAGGATCTCACCATCAAGTTCTTGATAGTAACCAAAAATAATGGAAATAGTTTGTAATATTTTGGGCTATTTGGGACCCCACTGATCAACAACTCTAAAATTAGTAACCCATTCATGGAACTGGGCTTTATAGTTGATGATCTATGGTGTCTAGAAGGAACATTATTTCCCTGTTATTGGGTAAGCTTATTTAAACTCTTTTTGTATGTATATATTTATGTACATATATATGTATATATTTTAGGAAGATTGTTCAGAACTAGTTTTCCATGTGACTTTTTCAAAGATCTATAGTGTTAACTATCCCTCCCCACATTCCATTCTCTATCCTGCCATTCTTTTTTCCATCTTACTCAATCATTCCTGTTCCATCATTTCCCATTCCCCCTTCATATCTGTTGTGCTTCATCCCCTCTCCCTTGAGATTCCCCCAAACAATTCCTCCTACCACTTTACTGATCTCCATGGGTACTCAAATTTAAATACAGCAACCCAG